TCATTCTTTACTTTATAATTCAAGAGTCTGCAGTAGGCTTTCAAACAATTTTATTAGCACTGTCTAAAATCTCTTATATTGTATGTTATAATTTTTGGGGATTCAAAATACATTCTGCTCTGGTGGCTCAATGGCGAAGTCGCTTAACTTTCGCCACTGAGGTTCCAGGTTCCCGTAGAATCCCCGTAGAAGCACATGCGAAATTTGTTACGACAGAATGAGTTCGCATGCTTCTCAGGAGCTAGTCCAACTCTTGAGGAGCGTCGTAAACCTCACCCCTACCCGTATTCCTTCCCAATTCAGGCCGTTGGGTAGTGACGCAGGGGCGCGTAGAGGGAGGCGCGTACACGGAGATGCTATCTGGTGGTCTTCTTGAGAGCTGACTGAGACGAGACGTGACGGACGACGTAATTAATAGAGGATTACTCCAAAAGCGCGAAGCGCTCAAAGCCCCCCATGGGGTATGGAGACACGTTTCGTTTAAGTTGACGCAACAATTTTTTTTAAAAATTTCAATGACTATTCTACTCGATAAATTAAAACCAATAGTGCTTGTGCTATACTTACAGCGCCCTGATTGGGGCATTTTGTATCTCAAAAAAATAATAGCTTTTGCTATCCGATTTTTCTTACCTCTTCTCCCTTCTGGCCAATCATAATCTGAGACTCATCTATCTTAGGAGGCGGTATACATAGATCGCTACGTCGATGTACAAAAAACCATCCATGTATAATATAACCTTGATTTTAAAATATTTTCAATATTTGGCCCATTTTGGAACTCTGTTGGACATGATTTCACTCGTGGAATAGTCCTATTAAATACCACTCGTGCATCGGAAATTCTAAGATAAATCCCCTCCTTGTTTCGCGAGTCGGGGATTTATCGACAATTTCCAAAGCACTCATGGTATTACCTACGATACACCTTTTCAGAATATTCTTTCATTATTTTTATACCACACATACGGATCATTATCCAACATTCCAAATATTTTTATTTAAATTCTGTAAGCTGATGAAACCTCTTTTTCCTTATGCTTTGCCTCCCAAGGAAAAGCCAAGCCAGTTTTTCTAGTTAATACTCGTATTTATTACAGATAACACATTTCAATACGTGAAATACCTGAACACCTTTTTATATAGTATAGCAAGAAAAATGTCTATATGCAGTGGTTGATAGAATTTACCAAAAAAATAATAGCTAGTGGTACTACTTAGAAAAACGGTCATCGGTCAAATAATGTCTGAATTCTCTAATCACAACGCTACCAGGTCAGGAAGACTTCTGTGAAAAGTTATAAAAGGAATCATCAACAACCTCCACGAAATGTATTTGGAAAATTAATGTATTAATTTTCAAGAAATTATATATTGCATCGACGTTCAATGCTGTGCAGGACTTGGATAAAAGAGTAGTATAATAAAGAACACTTTTGAAGAAGGGGGAGGAAAACGAAACGAAAGAGGAAGCCTTCTGAAAGAGTACGACTGCTCCCTAAGAACACCTATCTCCTTGCATCATCAGTCAATATACACCACTAATAAATTATATGTGATTAAATTTTATCCTTTGCATTTTTTTCACTAGATCTGTTTTATGTTTTGTGAGATAATCTTTGAAGCTATGCTGTTAAGTAAGTGTAACTTCTTAAAGTTTTAATTGGTCAAAACAAATGTCCGTCACCTGTATAGCATTAGATCATTTTTAGTCTAACGCGTACATTTTTTTTGAAAACTAACCAGTCGTTCTGTGATCTCAGAGATCGCGTCTACCATAATTCTTCTATACCTTTTTAATAATTAAAAAAAGTAAAATATTACTGATTTTTTACTAAAAGTAAAGTCTTTGTTCATTCTTACTTCGACTTGGGAACCATTTATCTCGCCATCTCTCTCGTGTCTGTGATTCAGTGCTGCTAGATTAAGAAACAGAATCGGCATAAATTTATTTGAAATTCACTTAATTAAAACATACACATAATCTTAACAAACTAACGAAATGGACAAAATGAGTTACTTTATGCCCAGATTTTATCATTTTATCATTATTAATAGAAATAAAACTTCGAGAAAAACAACAGATTACATTTTTATATGATTATATTGTAACTTTTATAGCTCAGTCGGGTCGCTGGTTCATTCTCATAATGAATGGATGGAAGAGAAGGGAAAAAGGGTTATCTATTAAATCATTTCGTTAATTGGGCAAACAAATAATTTATTCCTGACATTAGCTGCCAGGGAAGTTACACGTCGCAAAAGAGCGACAAAGACTGCCTACCAATTTAACGCAATGAGCTCATGGTTTTAATAGCTAGGAAGAAATATTTTAACACTAACATAATATCTGATAATCTGAACCTCCCGACCGCAGCGTACCCAGGAGAGTTCAGCGACCGTTCCCCCCGGTGGGTGAGGGCCCGTCGGCGGAGCAGAATTTTCCACAATCGCGACACACTAATAAAATAGCCGCACTGTAGCGAAAGGTCTTTCAAATATTAGGCAAATCATTAAAATTAGTTTTGGGTTAATTCGTAGGAAAAATATAAAATGTACAGTTCGTTTTGTGAGAAATTGAATATAAAAGGCAATGAATTTTACTTATTTTTTGTTACCTACGTTTGCTTTATTGTGTTTTAAGTTTTTGTCTATGTATTCTATATGTTCGAAGTCTATTACCGGTGTATTGCGAAAAACGCCGATTTAAAATAGGTGAGAAAAGTAAAGTCCCTGAAAGGAAAATGAAGGCTTATGTCACCCATTACGCAAAACAATTAATTACTTTCTTTATTTTGATAGTTTATTTATTTTGTGTGTATGTTTTAATTATGTGTGATTCAAATACATTGGGGGCATAACTGTTTTTTTATCTGGCAACACTGGGTCACATTTGAGATTTATGAAATAAATTGTCTACAAGTTAAAGTAAGAGGGAGCAAAAACTGTTTTCCAATCTTCATATTTATTAAAAAAAATTGGAAATATCTTACAAATTTTTTTTTTTAAATTATTGTATGTCTGAATGTACAATTTATGGTAAGTTCCCATAATGATGATACTATCTGGCTACATTGGATGTCACTAGTGCATCATGTGGTGCAGCACTTCCAATTCATCTGTGGACTATCTTTTAGAGCTCGTTGCATATGAAACCTAAGTACCTCAGTTCAAATTTGAGTCTGGACAAATATTTTTGCACTTCACTCTCTCCACCCAAGACATATTGACTCATCACACTCGATTGTAATTGTATATGTGACTCAAATATTATTATTGTTACAAATAATGTGAGAAAGTTTGTGCTGTTGTGGAGTCGCTAGGTGTTTATTACATTCCTCATCAAAATGGTTAATTCAAGCACCTCCCAAATTGTGATTTCATTTAGACATACACTTTAAGAAACATTGATAAGGTAGATGACATTGTGTTAGTTATTTTTGTCTTTTAGGTCAAAATATTTGTGTTAATTGGATCTACTTTTATTAGAAATTTGTGTAAGTTGAACCAAACTTTATTAGACTTCGTGACAATTGGACCAATTTGTAATAGGCATTTTTACAGACCTTTTGTCATTAGACCTAATGACCTATATGAAATATTCTCTCTTCTGTTTATTTGTTGTACTTTCTCTAAGGATGTTTTAATAGAGCACTGCCTCTTCTGGACCAATGTTTCTTAAAGTGTTTGCAATGATTTCTGAGTGATTCTTGCAACTGCTAAAGGGGAGTGGTGAATTAAAATTTATTTTTTGGTGGGGGTCAGAGGGTAAGTATAAAGGAAAATAGTTTCCACCTATCTATCTTCATCATTATGAAAATAAAAAAATAATAGTACATAAGTAATCAATTGTTTGTCACCTTTCTTCTGTCTTCAGTAAAATATAAGTACAGATAGGTATGGGATTTACAAGTTAAGAAGAATAGTGCATGGTGGAAGTCAGGCTAATTATGACCACGTATCTAAGCAAATTCGATCTTCAACAGAATCTCAGCAAGTTGATAAAGAACAGAACAATTTTCTTTCAAGCAGTGTGTTACTTGCTGTGTTGTACTATACTGTATTGTATTTAGTTCTTTGAAATACATGTATTGAACCAGGGGCAAATCCAGCAGATCATTTTGGAGGGCGCCATCATAATTTTTTGTTAAATAATTAACATTTGTCATTATTTTTATGTACATATGATAATTAACAATATTATTTATTAAATATTTACATTATTCTAACATAAATAAATATTTAGCTAAATAAAAGAAGGTAACAAACAAAACAAAAACATAGGTCTTTTAGGGAGTTAATTGCCCCCCAATGCCCTGGCTGATTTGTCATTTGCTTATGAGACAAATTTATTATTATTATTATTATTATTATTATTATTATTATTATTATTATTATTATTATTATTTATTATTATTTATTATTATTTATTATTATTAATTAAATTATAAATAATAATAATAATAATAAAAGGCTGTGTGATTGAATCCATACATAATATAGAGGTAGCTTAATAAATTATCAACAAGAGAAGAGCTGAAATCAATGTTTAAATAGAAGATTCCAATTTTATAAGCTGTATTCTGTGTCATTTTCTTTTCCATTGTTCTATTTAGTAGAACATGAGTTCAGTGCAGTTACAAGCTTTACAACACAAAACCAACTGTAAATTAGTACTTGTAGAGAATTCCAAATGTTACTCATTTTATCTACATTTCCATTTACTATTCAAAACATCAGTTATATTTGTAATTTTGTGATTATGTAGTTGTGTAGGGTTATTTCACTGAGGATTTCACGTTGTTTTTGCTATGAGAAGGGGTCCTTGGGTGTAATAAATTAAGGAATCACTGTTCTAAAGAATGTATTTTCAGTTTTTCTGTTTATTTCTGCTCTCCTTTTGTCTAACATCCTGAATATTAATTTTTAGTAGGAAGTATATAACAATGTCATAATGTACCTCTGAAGAACATTTACTCTTAATATAATTTTTCCTTTCTCCCAAAACAAGTCTTGGAATCAACAGATACTCTTAAATGTAGGAAAACTAGGACATGAAAAATAATTAGATATTCTTGCAGAATAATTTTATTCCAGTTAGACTCCGTGTTTACAGAATAAAAATGCCATAATAATAACCTTTTCAAATTGGCTGTACCACAGAGTCGAGTTGGTGTCTTGAGTAATATGTTACATCACACATTTATTATTGCCTCATTACTTTTGTAACATTCCAGCTATTAAAACCGCTTTCCTCTAAAACTAATACAGAGTGATCATTCCCCCAGTATCCCATTACTTCTCATTTGCTAGATTAAGTTAAAACGAATTAAAACTGAATAATTTTGCTTATTATAAGTGGAAATTAGCTTCTATTATAAACCAAAGAAAAATGAAAATTTCAATTTGAAATTCAACATACAAAATCCACATTAATTTACCAAACCAGGCCCCCAAAAGCGAAAGTAACAAACGGCTAATTATTTATTCATCAGTAACAGAAGTTATTCAAAGCCTCCAATGACTGAAGTGTCAACGAAACATTATAAGAAACAAAGACTACTAAAACAAAACAAACTGGTCACACTAATTATAAGTCTCCTTCTTATTTGCTAGAATATAATACACACCTGAGAGTCAAATTTAAATAACTATAATAAGAATTTTTGAAGGTAATATGTCATTCATAAAAAAAATTCCATCGGTAAAGCAACATACAAACTTACACCACTATGCCCTGAGTACAGAAACTAAAATCTAGGAGTTCAAATTGATTATTTGCACATGGATAAGATCTTAAGTCTTTGTTCACAGCCAAACCAAACATTCCTCTCTTTCATTTAACAATAAGGCTTGTGTTTAATTAAATTTGTACTGTTATGATTTAAACTAAAAATATTCATTTCACCATCATGACATCATTCAGCCCTTGTGAAGATTGAGTTAGGAAAATAACTAAAAAATATGCATGACTGACTTCAAATTATTATAATCCACTCTAAAATTGCAAATTCAATATAATATTTAATTCATCAGAATTCCTTAAAAAAATAAAACACTCTAACTCTCTTCAATCATTTATCTTTTCTTAACTTTCTATTACTAAGGTAGACATAATAATGGGCAGTTTCAAAGACATTTTGAAGTTTTACTTAAGTTGCATATAAACCAGAGGACTCAATATACATTCTTATCAAAAAGAACAGCAATTATTGATTCTATAATTTTCACAACATTCAACAATATTTTTAGAAGTACCACAAGTTTTCCCTGAAAACAATGTCACTCAATCATTTCATTGAACTCTCTCATCTCCATAGACAAGTACTTCATTATTATTACAAGAAATTTAGAAACTTGTACAGTTTTTAACCCTCAAGTGGTAAAATATTTTTGGTGACATTAGTGGTAACATCAGCCTCTGAGACTCCTACATATTTATTTTAATTTTATTGACTCAAATTGCACAAGAAAATGTTTTAATAGTTAGTGGAACATTATATCAATGAACATTACATTAGTAGTCTGAGAAGTGGATGTTACTGTTAGTGTTCAGTAAGACTAAGATGGATCAATATCAAATGAATTTAGTCATTAAAAATGTTTTGTCCATATCATCAATGCAATGAGGTGTTGTCTCATTAAGTATTTGTTTATGATTAAAAACATAAGGAAGTAACAGATCATGTTCTTTTGAAACAGGTGTGAAATAAAATACATCTTCAGTGCAATAAAAACTATGGTTTCATTTAAACTAACTTGTGCACTTGTTAAATAATCATTTTCATATCATGTCATCACTTTCTATAATTTATGTTTTCTTCTTGTATCATTTCATTTACTAGACCTAATCTACATACAAACATGAATTTTCTAGAAAATCTTCAAATGAATCCATGATTTCTACATTCTTTCGTCTAAAATCATTTGTAACATTTTCATAATTACACTCTTCAACAGCTGTTAATGAACACACTGTCTGAGAAAAATCTAAATTAAAATATTCCTCAAGAAAATTTTTGGTATCTGTTATATTCTTTAAAGAATTGAATAGTACTCGCTCCCTTTTTCGCATAATTTTTTCTAACATGAAAGACAGATGATGGTGAAATATTTGAAAGTTTGTTTCTAATTTTTGTCCCATAACTACCCATTGTGCAACACAATCCAATGGAGTAACACAGAATCCTGCGAAGAGTGCTGGGTTGGTCAAAATTCCTCGAGCTGCCATCACACCTGAAAAGTGTCAAAAGATTAGCTTATATTTTGTAAGTCTTGATCAAAAAACAAAGAAATTAATCACCAGACTATGAAGTCTGAGGTAAAAAAAGTTTGTGTTATATTCAATTATGAACTCTTTATTAGAAGTATTTTTGAAGATTTGTCAAATGAATTAACATTACAAAGCAGAATTTTCCTTTTGAAGCTTATTGAAAATTTCAATTTTAAGCCTGACCTTTTAAATTTTCAATAGTTTCACTTTCAAAAATGCCTACCCTACACCCAAAGAATTGTTTGTATCCAAAAATGTTTTGTGGTTCATATATTTTCTAATCAAAACGGTACCTTCACACTTGGTTTTTTTCTGAAGTTCTTCAGCATCTTGAAGAGTTTTAACATCTCCATTTGCAATTAGTGGCAACTGAACAGATGCACGTATAGTCTGTAATGCTACAATATTAATGGGCTGGTGTCTTTGAGCAGGAGTCCGACCATGAATCGTGATAAAGGAGACACCTGCTGATTCCAATTGTTGACACAACTCCACACTTTGTCTGAACACAGCATAAAATAAAATAAAAGTTTATTATATTTAATGCATAATAGGTCATGATTATAAATATCAGATAAACCATGTAATCATTTGGTAGTATTTCATACAAATATTCCAAATTAAATGTTTACAATAACCAAATAACAGCAAGGTTTGTTAGCCTTGTTACATCATTCCAAGAATTCAGATGCTAGCTTTTGTTGATTTATAATTGATTTTTTATAAAAAAATTATAGATTAATTTATTAAAAAATTAAAATATAATATTTTTTATAACGTTATTTTTATAATAAGTTACATCTTTGGCAACACGTTTTTTAAAATGTATTTTTCACTGTAGTATATCTGGTTAAAAACATTAACATCATCTTCATTCCTGGAGATGTTTTCACAACAGAGATACTCCATCCACCTGAGGTTGAAAACAAAAAAATCAAGTATTCATCTACTATCACAAGTTTTGGCCCTAGTATTCAGATTGATTAATTGATGATTCCAGGTGCACCAAATACTACGGTCATTATAGTCGTATAGTCCCATTACTGTAGTGAATAATTAACCTGGGAGGTGACAGTGTTCCTCCCCTGTTGAATGGTGAGATCTTGCATGACCTACAAGTCAGCTAGTAGGGGATTTGTTCCTCTTGATATTTCACACCAGCAGGGCACATCATTGTAGTGCAAGTACATGTGATTCCAGGGAGAGTGTAGATCAAGAAAGAGGAAGGAAAGATAGTGTGCAATCCTTTGATTGATCGATTGATTAGTGTTTCCGGACATGACAACTCCTAAGGTAATTAGTACCATATGTATAGTGCATGATTCATTGAAGGGGTGACAGTTATCTTCCCAAAATGGATGCTGAGATCCGGCACCCCCCTTCACCTACACTTGGAGGGCTTTCCCCAACCATGCACCTCCCAGTGCATGTAAATGTGAGTGTGTGTAAGTAAAGGGTGAGGATGGGGACATGGAAGGGGAACAAAAGGTAGCGTGCAGTCTTTGGCCCATTTATTAGGGTACTGCTGGCACTTGCTTGATGTTGATCGGAAAAATTACGTAAAACTATCAATCAGAGCAGCTGGCTGCTAAACTTATCCTCCAGGCAGCAGGTGAATTTTGGAGAAATTCATCTCGATGATTAGAGATTAGTATTGACCACAGACATATGGACGGATGGACAGACAGACAAACATTTTCTATGAATCAATTTTTCGATATAGAGGACCCACAAAATCTGGATTCTGACTTCACATTGTAGAGGAAGTAATTTACTATATATTGAGCAATATTTATTCACTTTTTTTGATACCAGTGCACCACACACAATACACATTTTTTCTGTTGAAAAATCACTGATTTGTGCCACCGCAGTACAGTATTTACTATTTTGTATGTAGTAACACTACAAAGTAAAAGCAAATTAATAATTACCTAATATCTTCCAAGATCCGAATTTTAACAGATACTGTAAAAGGATGAGGAATTTTATTCCGAACTTGCAACACAAGGTCTCTTATAAGTTCTGGTTTTTTGAGAAGATGCGCACCATAGCCTTCTTTCATTGCCCATCGCTGAGGACACCCACAATTAAGATCGACACCATTACTGTATCTGTTGTAAAAAAATAGTGTATTAAATACATTTCTCTCTTGGAATATACCTGAAAAAAATGTGATTAAGGATTCCTTTCATATTTGCTACAATTGATCGAAATTTGGATTCACTCAAATACTGAGCAAAGCAATTAACTTCATAATTATAAATAGAGAAAAGGCCCAATCAACATTCAAATAAATCAAAACAATATAATTTTATTAGTATAATTTTGCAGGAATATTAAACAAGTTATATTACATTTTTTCACAGTAAAACAAATAAAAGGTATATAAGATAAGTAGCCTACTTCAGAATCAAATCAAAATAGACAAATGCTAATCATATTATCAATTAATTTCATTTTCAAATGGCTCTCCAAGGAATAAACAATTAATTTTGAGAAAGAATAATAATTTAATATTATATCTTAATATTTAATGATTACTATTGCATTTTTCACTGTTAACATTACTCACGGAGCAACCATTTCTGCAGCACAAGAAAAATCCTCAGGGTTGTTAGCAGCAAACTGTACAATTAGAGGTCGGTCACCTAACAATAAGAACGGTATGCATTATTATTTTAGTTTGAACAATAAAAAGCAATTACATACTTCGCAACAATTAGTCACTTCACACTAGATAACCATAGCTTCACTTCAAAGATAAATTCTACAACATAGAAAGATGAATCTTACCAGCACTTGTGCAAAATTCATTATTTCTAGCAGACTGAGACATAACAAAGGAGTCTGCAATGATCATTGGTGTGAAACATATGTCACAATTGTACTTCCTCACGAGGGTACGGAATGGTAATCTGTACATACACATTACATAAATTACATACACTTATACATAAATTAAACACCATTTATTAGACATATATTAATAATTAGGCACTCAAATCACCCTTTGCTGTACTACATTGGAACATGGCATAAAACCAACATTATACAGCCCTTAAGTCAATGTCAGTTTGATTAAAAAATATTTTTTGTTTGTCTGTGTGTGTGTGTGTGTGTGGGGGGGGGAATAATTAGGTATTTTAAAAATTTTCAAATGCTTGGTGGAATAGGTTAAAATAGATTTGAAAATTTGTTGCTTTAATTTTTTTTTACATTTCAAATATAATGAGAAATGTGTCAAAAAATACCAACTTTACCAAAATAATAATGTTCATTCTGTATTGAATTAGGTAATAATTCTAGGAACATGACTCATGGATCATTAAAAAAATACTTGAATAAATAGTAAAAAGCAATGATAAATTACAAAAAAATGCAGATTAGGAATGCTGTTTTACCCCTTAATCATGACTGCATTGTGTTTGTGAAGCAAGAAATTAAGGAAAATTCTTTTTAAAATACAAAACATATTTCTGCAAAATACTACACAATCCAGTAATCAGCATGCACATCTTCATAATATATTAATGCTCAAAATAAATCAATTGAAGAAATATATTGCTGAAGTAACAGATAAATGTGAATTGTCATTAACAGTGTCATGAATAATAATTATTCGCAGAAATAAATATCTATCTAGCAATATTTTTAAAAAAAATGTATTTGATTTGTACAATTAATAACTTCTTTTTTTCAAAATATTTGTCACAGAAAAAGAGTAAATTAACAAAATATTTGTTTTAAGACTAAATAAACAAAATATTTGTTTTAAGACTAAATAAAGTCTTTACTATTACAAAGAAACGTGCTGAAGGTACAAAGAAATATGCTGTCAGTTTACACGTAAATTTGAAACTCACCCACACTTCAGCATAAAATTAACAACTATCCCATTCGTTTAAGATATGTTAGGTTGCTGCACTAAGGTGTAAGGCATTATTTTAATGCACATTTATTTGCATGCAAACACTTACATTCTATTCATAAAAAATTCACTGATTGCTTACCCAGCACGAAAAATAACATAAAAGGTAAAATTTTAAATAAAAACATTTTTTCTAAAAAGAGAAAGTGATTAATGCTGTCCCTAATCATCTTACGCAAATAAATAGAATACAATTTCTCTCCAGATCAATCTCTGTATTCCGCAATTTTCAATATATTCATACAAATGTGAGTGTCATTTATAATTATAAATCTATTATCCCAGACACAAACCTAACATAACACGAATTGTTTCACATCAATGACTTTCTCATATTTTCATATGGAAGAGTGTCACCTCAATTTTATTTTGATTGATTATTGTTTAGTATTTGAACTTATTATTGTGGGGATGAATTCTACTCAGAAGACCTTGGATCTGCATACTGCAGAAATCACATTCAGATTTTATGAATTTTCTTGTCCAATTTCTAACACTAAATAAACTGCAAAGGACCCTTACCTTTCTCTATTAAAGCTTCTAAGACTTTAAGCAAAACTTCAAAATGTAAGTCAACTAATCACTTCTCAAATTGTGATTTTTACTCATTTGAACAAGTGTAGGATCAAAAGCATATTTTAACACCTTTTTAAATCCATTACTTACTTGCTGTAACGAACCATGGGCGCACATACTTTAACTAAATTATTAGACTCTAGCAATTCCATAACTTGGTTAGACATGTTTAGTCACTTGCATAGCACATTTACTCATAGTCCTATAACCAATACGAGCAGAAAATACATGAATTGATTGTTTAACATAATATGCAGTGTATCATTGTATTAAAACGTGTAGCTCTTGGATAAAAATTTCACAATGCAACTGTGCTGGCAAGTGTCCTTTCCTTATGGAATTGTGAATACTCAAAAGTGAAAGGGAATAATAGTAAATTTAAACGCAACGTGATATATAAATCGGACTTTTATTCGAACTGAAATTCACGCATTTGAATACATGTTCTATAATAATAAATACAATGTTGTATTTCGAACACATGGACAAACTCATTCAGCTTGGTGCCTAGTTATGCATTTGTCCTTGCTGAACATTGCCACAACTAGAGCTTTAATTTCCACAATTTAATTCGAAAATTCAATATTAAAATCATATAGATAAATTGATCTGGATAACTAATCCTTTTAAAACCCCTAATTACGGAATGTTCACCATATACATTCAACGGACATAAAAAAATTTCCTCAAAATATACTGCTTACCAAATTCTTCCATTTGCAAGGATTGGTAGCTCTGCAATCTCAAAAAGATAGCAGCGCCTGGCGAAAGCAGTGAAAAGCGAGAAACGAATAGCGGAAATTCTTATGATCAGCATTGAGTCGGTATGCGCTGGTTCCAGACAGGTTGAACATCGCAATTCGCGCATTGTAAGCTTGAAAGATATTCGCCTTAATGTGTTTATGTCATACCTTTAGATATACTGAAGATTCTACTGATTATTCTAAATGTAAGCAGCAACGCGTTGAGTACGGCGGGAGTCTAAATGTACGCGGACTAGTTTATTTTTTTTGCACAACCTAATTATCGTTAATATTATAATATGGTATTAATGTTATTGTATCTATATCATTGATTTATAGAAAAAGGAGTATTTATTGCATTTTGATTTCAGAAATCGTGCCCATTGATGTAATGAGTATGTTTGAATCTAATAACGTATTAATTAGGATCGATTTAAGGCTACATATTCGAATTTCAGGCGTATAAAAATTAAATAAAGAGAAAATAAATTCATAGACAAAAATTAAAGGTATTTTTTTCACAAAGTAACAAGTAAAGTGTGAACAAAAGGGTTTCTATGCGAATCGAAGTAGGCAATCTTGGCTGCTAGTATTAGTTGGCCTTGATACGTGAAAACGTAGTATCAGGCTAATGCCAAAACCACGACGTTGATATAATACGCTAGCTTTTAACTTTCGAGCACGCGTGCCTGTTTTTGAGACACGATGACTCGCGCGTTGTAGTTTTTACAACATCCAGTATTTTTGGCATTTCTATTAATTTTTTTTTCGTTCTAATAACATTTATTTGAGTTTTTTTACATACCTTCGAATAACAATGAGATAACATAAACAATGAAAGTATTTCCTTATTTCAAAATCTATCTTTAAGGGACATATTTCATGAAGAAAAAAACTCTATCTTCGTTATTATTGTAGTGGTAGGAAGACGCCAAAGAAATTTTCAATGTTTGCAGTTTTCGAAAAATCAGGGTTTTCAACGAAAACGAAACCCACTACATTCTCCATTGTAATAAAAATTATTTCCATTGTAATAAAAAACAATGGAGCTATTTTTTTGAAAACGTCGTATGAGCTTCATGTAAAGTACCTCCCGAAATTAAAATATCGTTTTTATTTCAAGAGGCCGCGACATCATTCAAATCATTTGGGGTAAGTCAATTTTGGAGAAAATCGGCAGAACGGTTTAGCCGCAAGAGTTGTTCACAGACGGAAGGACGGACAGGCTATCTTTCAAACACAAACACTTTGTTCAGCTTTTCATTATTGGCCAACCTTTAGTCAGTAGTCATTAAATTATTAAATATAATATTAATAGTCATTAAATAAATAGATATATGATTTCCTTTTTTCATTCGCTTAATTTACAAATATATTAAGAAATTTTCACGTTGTTATTATTATTATTATTATTATTATTATTATTATTATTATTATTATTATTGTCTTACATTATTC